AAATATCAAAAATGATATCTGGTGTCTGATTAATTTTTGGTTTGACTGTATGTATGTGTTTGTTTTTTCCAAGGATTTCCTCTTTTCTCGCGGTAACACATTATTTAGGCCTAGAGCTTATGGTGTTATAGTTGTTCAATCCCCTGCACTGTGTTATCAGACTTGCATGGTTTTGTTATTGGATAAAGGAATATTTTGCGGGCAAATACAAACATGATTTGTTCATTTATTGTGTGTTATACGTATCTTCATTCCTGACCTGATGATCATATATTCACATCATCTCTACCAGATCTAAGTATGCCCTCCTACAATCATAAACACTAATTCTTTAGAATGCTTTACAGAATTCTCATTAAATCTCATACAAATTTCTGAATCGGTGTAACTGCAGGTTTTTGCTCTTTCTCACTTGTTTTCTCTGAGGGAAATGCCCAATTACTTGTGTTTATCCAAGTACAACCTACAGTGCAGAAGATCCAGTGCCGGTCTCCTTGAATGCATTTTCTTACTGTTGCTAATTATCTTTTTAAGAAATGTATTAGTATAACATGTGCAGTGCTGAACTGGTAATGTGTGAGTTAATTTGGTGCATTTATCCAAGAGGGCTACGCTTAGGTACCTTATTAAACCGAAGCTACCTGGATAGTCTGTTTTTTTCCCTACTGATTTGTTTTAATTAAAAGTGTATGATTTTATACACTTTAATAAAATGAATGATAATTCAAATGCAGTGGCGGCTCCCACCAATTCTCTCAGGGGGGGCAATTCAATTGTCACCCATTCAATTGATAAATTAACGGCTAGTTAAAGATGTAAAGGAAACTGAACTACTATATTATTAATTAAAAATAAACTGACTCTAACAATCAATCTCTTGCTCTCCTTATGTTTCTATATGCGTGTTAACACAATTAAGCAGCAAATTAAGACCAGGATGTGGTTTTCCAAAAAACTTTTTTACTTCAATTTCAGTTTACTAAGAAATAATTTAAGTCACATAAATCACTATTTACACAATTGATATTACACACTTATATTACACTGCTCATTTTCAACGTTACTCACTTATATTACACTGCTCATTTTCAACGTTACTCACTTATATTACACTGCTCATTTGTATTACACAGCTCGTTTGTATTACTGCTTACTTATATTACATTGCTCCCTTACATTACACTGCTTACTCACAATGCTCACTTATATTACACTGCTTGCTTACATTACTCACTTACACTGCTCACTTACAGTACACTGCTTACATTACTCACTTACACTGCTCACTTACATTACACTGCTTACTTACATTACTCACTTACACTGCTCACTTACATTACATTACACCTGTAGATGTCCATGCGATGTCCGTCATGCTCTCGGGGTGTAACAAAATGCAGGGGTAGCAGAATAAAGAGTTAGCTACTTCGCAGCCCGCTAGCCATTTTTTCCGCTCATACCACGTCCTCGTAAATCCCCGTTTATACGACTTTGCGCCCTTTGTAGATACTTGTTTGATGTTTAAATTTGGTCTTGGTGGTCCTAATTCTTTAATTGCCAATTTATCCTTATTGCTACGACGACTGAATGGTATTTCTTTCAATGACACGATAGAATTAATCTGCGCTGAGGTAACTTTTGCCATGATGTCGATCAAGTTCAACTGACAACTGAATACGAGTTGGCGTAGCTGTCCCCCTCTCTCTCTGTTTGTTTTTTTTTCACATTTGATAAAGATATTAAAGTAGTTTTTCATTTTTTCTTGTTAAAATTCAAAATAGTTTTTAAATATTATTGGATGTCACTGTTCCCACCAATCCTTGCACAAGTTAAGGTTACACATGATGACGAAAGCACGTTAGTGCTAGCCCTCCCGGAACTCATAGAGATTGCATTGCAGTGCCTGCAGTTCGAAAAAAATTATCTTTGCATGGAAGTCTAAACATGCAAGCACTCGGGGCGATTCTCAGTCTGACAGAAATTGCCCAAAAATTGCCCCGGTACTACACAAAACGCGACTCGACGCTGATTGGACTATTTAGAGGCAGAACAAACAGTCTAAAATAATGAAAGCTAGCGTAACACTATGGTTTAATGTGAAAGAAAAAATAAACCCTCCCTTTCGTGCTTTGGTGGTGCGTCGCCCAATCGCCCTAATGGAGAAACCGCCCCTGTTGAAATGATATCCACTGTAATGTGGGATAAAAGGAACACATTTCTCATTTTCTTTTGGATAAAGGGGGATTTTAAACCTTACTGATGGTTCACAGAGACAATTTCAGCCAATGTGGGTGAGAGACAATCCTCTGTGTCTCCTTCATGTCACACTTGCAATAATCTATTTTTTTTCCCTCTCTCTTGTGCCATTTGTGTTTTGCTCCCTCTCTCCTCCCCTCCATTGTGTGCATGTTATTGCGCTGATAAGGGCTTCACTTTGGCAGTGGCATAAAATAATCTCCTTTTTGATGTGACCACATCATGAATGGATTCAGCAGATTAAGTGGAAAAGGCAATAATTCTAAAAATTATTAACGTCCTCTAACCGAAAATGCTATAAATAATTTGATCAAATCAAAGCAGTGGTCATTACTGAAGTGCTCATTTAGAGAAGTAGAAAACGGCCTGCTACGATTGAGACCAATTGCCCTCTCGATAATAGCATGAAGCCATGAGCCATTAAATGACACTTTGAAGTAACTGAGAATAAAACCAGGCCCTAATTTCTTGACAGGAGAAGGAATGAAGCAGCAGATCACATTTAATTACCCACCTTGTGTACTGTATCACTGCATAACAACATCCTGTCAGGGATCCAGGTCCCGAAATACTGAGGAGTTACAGGAGCTGAAATTCTGTAATTTCTTACTTATCTGAAGACAAGTTTTGCTTATTTCGCCGATATTTTTTTCCTCCCAGAAACATTAGGCCTAAACCTGTTCCAAAACCTAATGAGCTGCCTACATGGACAACGTTATAGGCACACTGTCAATGTGAAGGCCTTTCAAGTTTTCTTTTAGTTTAAGATATAAATCAATTATAATTAACAGTTTTATTATACATTTACCAAATGTATTGTTACACTTGAATTCGTCTTTATAATTTTATTTTTACAGATCGTGGTTTGTTTTTCTTGGTCCATGACTCCATGTAGGCATTTGTGCTTTGAGGAGAACAGATTGGCCACTTCAGAGCTACCTCTATCTTGGGAGAAAAGTTACTGCTTCTAGCAATTTATATCTAGCCATATGTTCGTCTTTATAAAGCAGTGTGTGGGTTTGTGTACATGATAGACTTGTAGTGGTTGCCTTAAACGTTGTGTATATTCCTTCGAGGGGGCTATTAATTGTATTGCTCATTATCTAGCAGGCATTGAATGTGCACAGTGTCCGGCATTCAGAATGCTTCTGCGCTGCTAATTGCATCTGCACAATCACATTGAATTAAAAGATAAGACTTCTCTCATTGCAAGATTACAGGATTTAAATGTGTTGTAAACACAGTCTCACATACTCGCACACTATTGCTTATGGTTACAATAATGGAGATTGTAACGGAGTTGACTAAGACATGAGAGACAAAGCAAAGTTATCGATCTTTTTTTTTTTACAACAAGCACACATTCACACACATCTGTTCTGTATGATTGCATGTGCAAGAGTTTAATAGAGTCAAATGGATCTTTAGAAGGATTTGTCTTTATTCCATGTTTTCACTAAACTCTAGTAGTTTTTTTTAAAGGCAAGAGGTCGTGTGACATCTTTCGTTGATGGACATTATTTCCTGAATTCAGTTTCTGTGTAGTAAGTCTAATCTCACTCTGTATTACTGCATCTCTGAAGTTTCTGAAAAGAAATTAATACATTTATATTCAGCGAGGAGGCATTAAGCTGATCGAAAGTGACAGTAAAGAATTACAATGTTACAAAGTGTTCTTTTGAAGTTCATATTCATCAAAGAATCCTTAAAAAATTATCACAAAAATATTAAGCAGCACAACAGTTTTTTTTTAACAATAATAAGAAATGTTTCTTGAGCACCAAATCAGCACATTAAAATGATTTCTGAAGGATCATGTGACACTGAAGCCTGGAGTAATGATGCTAAAAATTCAGCTTTGCCATAACAGGAATTAATCTTCTTTCAAAAACTTGAGCAGTAGTGTAGGTTAATTGTATATTACAACTAATAATACCTCACACACATTATGTTTCTTTAGACTTCCTGAGCCCTGAGCCTGTGCTCACCATTGGATGGTGTTAAAGTTGCTGTTTATTATGCTACCTTGTGCTTTAGCCTTTTCATATTCACTGTTGCACTAATTAAGATGTTATTAAACAATACATTAATCTATAACGTTTCACAGTTGCTGTGCTGTGAGAGCACACATGGACACAGCTTGCAATTGTAAAGCACACTAAGTGTAACAGCTAAACTTCAACACGTTCATTTTTTGGCTGTAAAAGGCTTTTTACCTTCATTCAGCATGAGAAGCAGAGGCTCGCCATGAATGAGAATGAGAACAGAGTCCAGCAGGCTTGTTCAATGTTCTGAAACAAGATGAGATTGTTAACGTTCCATGTGGCATGTCAGTGTCTCCATATGAGATGCAAAAAAGCTAAACTATGACAGTGTTGTAATTCACTGTACTTACATTCTCTATATCAAACTCAAATTAACATGGCAATATTTCTTGCTCACTTGGTGAAATATTTGTAAATCTCATTCTCGCAAGAGCTGGCACACAGAGGACTCATTACCATATAAATGTGTTCCATGCACTCTTGTTTCATTGGGAAGACTTGTCTGCTACAGATTCAGGAGCTGTTTGCTTTGCAGATCTGTAAATGGAATGGCATAGGCCAGTCTTTAAACACATGATCCAGACAGGGAGTTGTAGAAATCCCTACACCTCGCATCTCTTCTGATTTTCCAGAGGTTTTTTTTATTTTTTTTGTCATTCTCATTATTCTCTATTTCTGGTCTTCTTTTTGTCTTGTCAGATATGAGGGGTCCTCCAGGCCACTGGATGTCATGTGGTCACCCGTGTGCTGAACATGCTGTGTGGAACCCCAAATTCTGTGTGGTCACTGACTATCAAATGCTGCTGCTGGACAGAGAGGAGGTATCATACACACTGACACAGAAAGAGCCTTTTCTCATGCTTCACACATGTCCGTACAATTTTTCATAACTGGCTATGGTATTTACGTCCATTTCTGGTGATCTGATCAAGTGGACAGTGATAAATATACTGTAGGTGTAAACAGGTTTCAAAACATTTTGTCATCGGGTTACTGAAACCAGATTAAGTGGTGGTTAGAAATGCATAAGATCACATTGCATCTCTCATATATTCAGGAAGGAAACGTCACTGAACAGCTTTGGTATGCCTTTATCGATACTGATCATGTGAATCACATCTGAAGTTTAGTTTTTTTCACAAAAATAATGATTTTAGTCAAATATTTAGCTGTAAATGTCTTGTTTATGCTCATATTTAAACTAAAAAATGTATTTGGGAGTAACAGTGACTAATTTTTTTTTTTTTTTTTGCACTTAAAGGAGCACTATGTAATTTTTCTGTGTTCGAAATTTGCAAAATGTATATAATGAGCGAGTACATCATGAATTCATCTTCCAAACCATGTTTTTGTCTTATTCCGAATCACTACGGTACACTTATAATAAGTACTTATATTTGGACTATTGTAGCCTGGTCGGGTCGCCACCGCTGCGGAGTAACACATGCCTGCGTGAATCGCCATAGACATAAACTTGGAGAAGTAGCGGTTGGAATGTTAAATTAAATTAAATTAAATGTATGCATTTAGCAGACGCTTTTATCCAAAGCAACTTACAGTGCATTTAGGCTATACATTTTTTATCAGTATGTGTGTTCCCTGGGAATTGAACCCATGACCTTTGCGCTGCTAACGCAATGCTCTACCACTGAGACAGTTTTGTGAATTGAGTACTTCTAGTAATTGCAGCAAACTTCATATAAATATAACTTAATATAAAAATATAAACTTAATACAAAAATATATTTTTATGTTATGTCTATATCTATATTATTATTATCTGAATTTTATTATTATATAAATGGCTTTTGAAAATTCACCTTTGCAATCACAGAAATAAATTACACTTTCACTTTGCTTTCTTGCACAGTAACAAATACTTAAAAGAAAAAAACATATAAAGTATATAATATAATACAATATAGAAAAAAGAAGGGAAGAGGCAGAAGGGCAATGTATTTTGTGCTTATGTTGTGAGACTGAACTAGTGCAAGCACATGAGAGCGAATAGCGTGTTAGCTGTGTGTAGTTTGTCATTGTGACATGTGCAGAAGTGCGGTACATCAGCAGGCTCCCTGAGCTCACTTTTCGGCCTGGCAGCCAAGACACACGGCGTTCCACAGGAGCAATCAATAGATGGCCCACACTTGCAAAGGATATATGCTTTGTACCGTGGTCGATAAAGAGTTTTCCGCTCCCCCATAGCTCACGCTGTATGTCGAACCCTCTGTTATCAGCCAGACAGCAGCGCTGTAATAAATCTCCACTCCTTTAGTACTGGCCAGGCAGAGCAGTGGTGAATAATTTTCTGCTGTATGTGGAGCAAAAGACAGAATCTCTTCTGGCAATACCAAATCTGTAATGCTTGGAGAAATTTGTTTATGTACTTACAGTACTTGTAAGATGATTTTTAATATATATATATATATATATATATATATATATATTTTTTTTTTATATATATATATATATATGCTAACATAAGCTAACGTATACTTGCCTAGAGCTCTCTTTATTTTTTTATTACTATGCATATTAGTCAGTATTTAGAGTAGCACGAGTATAAAGGTGCCTTTGATAAAAGTAATAAACAGTGTTGTCTTTTTCCACAAATGAAAATTGTGCTGGAATTTTATGTGTTCAAACACAACACATATACACACAATTTTATTAATATAAAGTACAGTGCTGTCTTTTTATTCAGTTTACTCTATGGGGAAAAAACTAACTACCTGGTTTCATTCTCCCAAGGTTTTTTCTCCATTTCTTTCACTGAAGGAGTTTTGGTTCCTTGCTACTGTCGCCTTTGGCTTGCTTAGTTGGGGACGCTTGACTGATTGCACAGACACTATTGAAAGAGAGCTGAAATGGATGATGACATTACTGAATCATCAATGAACTGACAAATAACTCTTTGTAATTGTCCTCTTTAGGGGTGCACGATAATTTGGGGCTGCATGCGATATTTAACGTGCATCTTGTCAGTAAAGCCATTCTGTAATCAGCGGTAAATCTCCATCACCTGCGGGCTTTCACATGGAGCAGCATTAACTACTGTAGCTAATCAGCTCATGGAAAATATGAATAATTAACCATAACTAGTTATAATTAACTATTCATATTTTAGATCCACTGTAGATATTTAGCTGACCACTCAGGGTCAACCGTCTATTGTGTGTTGGAGTGGTCCAGACGCTACACTACACAGAGCCGTTGTTCACCGACAAGCTGCGCAAAACATGCGCAAAATATGATTGTGGTTTTGCGCAGCTTGTCAGTGAACAACGGCTCTGTGTAGTTAATGCTGCTCCATGTGAAAGCCCGCAGGTGATGGAGATTTACCGCTGATTAAATAACTGGCTTTACTGACAAGATGCGCGTTAAATATCGCATGTGATTTATCGTGCAGCCCTAGTCCTCTTGCATTATTGACAAACTAGTATTTTCCTATTTAACACTGTAAAGCTGCTTTGACACAATCAGTATTGTATAAAGTGCTATACAAATAAAGGTGACTTGACTTGACTTTACTCTGCTTGGCTTTGAGGTTTTTATACAAGAGGTCAACATAAGATGTAGGTAAATCCTAACTATTTGTGTATTGTGTGTGAACCTACTTAACCATATTTCAGGGACAAATTTGTAGAAAAAAAGTATTGGAACACCCCCTTCTAATGAACAGGTTTGACTACTTTAGTAATTTCCATGAGTATAAATCTTAATGTTTAAGCATATAATAATATTCTAGGGCATTGTGTGCTTCTAATTTTATACCAACAATTTGGACAGGACCCTTTTCTATTCTAACATGACAATGCCTCTGTGTATAAGGCAAGATTCAAAAAGAAATGATTGATTCAGTCAGTGTGGAAGAACTTGACTGGTCTGCATAAAGCCAAGTCCTAATCCCAGCTGAACACCTCTGGTGTGACTAAATGCAGACCTTGAGCCAAAAACTCATCACCAAAACCAATGACTTGTACATATGGGTACAGTCATTTTAGACACTTCCAAAACTGTTGCAACAGAGATGCAAACACAATTTTTAAATACATGAATTATGTTTCCATCTTTGTTGCCACAGTTTAGGAAGTGCCTCTTTCTGTTCTAAAAAAGGGGGCGTCCCAATACTTTTGTCCATATAGTGTATGTACAAGTCATTGGTGTTTGGTGATGAGTTTTTGGCTCAAGGTCTGCATTTAAAGTCACACCAGATGTGTTCAGCTGGGATTAGGACTTTGCTATATATATATA